AGTGGTAAATCAACTAACATTTATGAAATCAGTCCTATACCCCCTCCCCGCCCTGTAATCGCAAATGTTTCCTATAAGAATGTAACAGAGATGAGCATGGATCATTGTGTAGGGAACCCTCCAGTCGAGAAAACAGTGATTGTTCCGAGAACCACTTAGGCATACCAGCTGTTCCTATACTCCTTCCTTCCATTCACTCGGTTCCTGTGCTAGGCGATCTCGAAAAGAGACAAGTTCTCAAAGCCCTCCATGGGGTCTACCCTGTAGGAATAGGGTACACCATCGAGATTGGTGAAATGGCGGGGTCGGTACGACTAACGCCGAAATGTTCTCCTTTTGTACGACCCTCTTCTCCCCAGCCTACTACAGTCATTGTGAATTTTCCCACTCTTTCTATTGCTTCTCCCAGTTTTCCAAAAATTTCTCCTCCAAACAACTGTCGTCGAGGGGGAGAAAGGGTAAGTAGTCGCAAAAGGTTCTATCAAAGCCAGATGCAACCTTGTACGATCCCTCATGGTATTCTCCCAGCGGTGCTTACCTTGTGTAAGAAGACCCTCAACAAGTCGGGAAGGCCAAGTGAGGTCATTATCGGACCACAGCATGTCCAGACACAAGCCCCCTTCGGGGAGCATGCTATTTTGTTCTAGCGGTAGCGGTCATGGAAGCGAGGTAAAGCAGGGTCGCCTCACAACTGACCACGCCTTCGTACTTCCTCCTAAACTTTCTTATAAATTCCTTGAAGTTTTCGTTCCTGATGCCTTTGAAAACCCCAGGATCAGCACACGCCAGAGATCGCAGATAGTTAACTAACTGTACGTTAACATCCGTACCTGGTCCTTCCTTCATCGATGCTGGGGCCATCGAGGGCGAGCTGGAGCTCCCCACAAATTTCAGACCAGTCGAGAAGTGGTTCACCTGCAAGGAATCACCTTGATCATTCATATTAGCAGACTCTGCTCTATAGCCCAACCTGCGCTCTTGCTGTCCTTCCCATGCTCCAACAGGTCTGCGACGAAGTCTTTAATCTGGAAAGAACTCACTTTCAATATATCGCAGAGTTCTGCTATTATTTCTCCATCCCGCTCCATTGTTATAACATATTCTTTCCACTCCTCTGCACTCTCAATCCCCTAGGGTTCCGGCTACTGCACTCCAAAGAGCCCCGCTGGGGGTGAGTCCCGATGCACCTCTTGCCTATTTTATCTACTGCCTGCACCATCTTGACCCACTCACTTTCTAGGTCTGTTTTGGCTTGTTTGGATGCCTTCGACTCACCCACTATAGCCATCATCCTCTGATGCCCTTCCTTAAGTACATGGACAACCTCTTCCCACTCTCTCTTCCCGTTCCTGCCTGAGCAGTACTCATATAAGTTGCTTACCTCTTGAGGGGGGACGTTCTCGTCCATGCGTTGTTCCCCATTCGAGCTCATTCTGGAATTAGTAGCATTATGGGAGTCTTCCATCATTATGCTACGCAACGCGACCGATAGCAATCCAATATATGAGATGTTCCTCAGCGGTAGAACCTGACGGGTCTGCTTATTGGTACGACTCAGGACTCTGCCTGGCCGTTGCCGCAACATCAAATGCCATTCCGGGCGTGCTTTCCTTCTTTGGCCCTTACACTCTACAGGAGAGTGCTTGCTGACCTGACTCTTGCTGTCTCAACTACTGTGGCCGTCTCAGTTGAGCGGTTCGGCCCCCATGTACGGCCCAGTTGGTTCGAGATGCAGGACGTCTCTTGGCCACAGCGAAGCCAAAAGCCAGCAAAGTAATCAGAAAATTTTAGCTTAGTAGCACAAAATATGAAATACAACAGAATATAGGTTGACGATCAAAAAAAGAGAAATCGACAGGAAGGAGTCGGAGCGGCGTGAAGATGAAATCCGGAAGAAAGCGAAGCACTGGCAACGTTCGGCTGGAACCTCGTAAATATTCCCCAGGCTTCGCTGGTCCCCTAGAGCCACTTAGACTCACGGCCACTTAGGCCGTATCAGGACAAGAAGGTGGGGGGAGTAGGCGGAGAGGATTTCGGCTTTGTCCCGGTGAACAAAGCCTACTCAGGCGATAGAATAAAAAAGGAGCTTTTTCCTTCGGTTGACCCCCGCCTTTTACTCGGGTCGCCACTCCGCCTTCTTTACCTCGCGCCTCAGGCAATACTTACTTTAATTGCCCGCACGATCTGCGGGTCTTGACCACCTAGCGACAATTCGGGCCCCCCTCAGGCAGTACTCCTATAGCCTACCGTACCCCGATCGTTGATTAACGACCGCGCCTTCTTCTTCGGGCAATTCTCGCGGCGTATCGACCGACCCACCCTGCTATCGACCACCCAGCTCGCGGTCCCTCTTGACCCCTACATGGCTTTGCGCTTCCATGACCGTTCCCCTGTGCGTCCCTCCGACTCCTTCCTTGACAACTCCATATTGTTTGTACATATAAAAGTTTGTGTCGCACGAACACGGAGAGCTCGAATGCACTGATAGGGACGCCTCGCCATTTCCCATTGTTGGGTTCCCTCCTGTATTTGTTTGCAAGTTACGACCGCCACCGTCCCTAACAGCCTAACACCATCACATAGTGGCAGGCATTGGCAAAATTTTTTGATTGTGAGTTTCTCGATTTTTCCGTTTTCAGCGCATACTATATACTCCCCCCCCCCCGCTCGTCACATTGCATGCATTCAAAAGCAAGCACTCCACTGGACACCTTGATTCTGTTGCCATTAAGGGGAAGGGTTCACACCCTGAGCCTCTAATACTTGGCATTAAAGCGGTAAGAAATAAAATATTAGCAGCAGATCGGTATCTCATCTGTTTTTATGCGACATGTTAAGATTATTATTTGTCACCCGTCATTCAATGTCCTCATCACCAAATCTCTATGATTTGGTAGCGTGAACCACCTTGAACAGCGACGACGACTGCAACTTCACTTATCAGTCTCTATCAGTAGTTATCGCTTCCAGTCACCCAGATTCATGTCCCCATCTCACCCTCTATATCACTTGCTGAGACGTACGCCTCGCTGATGCTGTGACCTGCGCTGTGAATACGATGACCTCACCATTCTAACGCCCCTTATCGAATCTTATCAGCAGCTTACAGTTCTTGTCACCCACCAATAATGTTCTTGGCCCTATACCCTTTATCATATCTTGGAATCAAGAGCTAGCTGATGCTGTCACCCGCGTTATGAATATGGTGGACATTTCCGTCTTCTAACTCTCGTTAATCGCAGCTTAGCAAATGATATGCAAACTTCCTGTCACCCAACAAGAGTGTTCCCGTCATATTTCACTGCTACTGAGACCGGCTCTATGAATTTCGTGAACAAACAGACAGACGCACACACACACGCACGGACATAAGCGGATTATATAATTAAAGAATACTTGTTTGCATGAGGCATAAATTCATATGTGTTATTACTGTCATAGCCAAATGTGTGGTTGGCAGCATCATGAGAAATGCCCATTTCATGCATTATGTTTCGGAAGGTAGAATTTGATTAGGGCGACCAAGCTCCCCGCGTGTCACGAGTCCATTTGTCGGCGATCAGCTTTGTTTTGACTGTATAGAAATTTCTCCCTAATTTTCACTGTTTTTGGTGCTTATCTCAAGGTTGGTTGTTCCTTGTCTTCACAAGGTAAATTATGATTTAGATTCCTCTGAATTTTGCGTACAATTAACCAGTTAGGCAGACAATTGAACAAACCTGAAAAAAATCGCAAAAACACTTAAGTGGCAAAAACCAAAAAAAAAGACGCTCCACGTCCTAATGTACTTCATGAAGACAATAAAACAACTAACCTTGAAAAAATAGAAAATACAGTGAAAATTAGGGAGAAAATGGCCAAATTAGGCTGGAAACAGCTGATCGCCGCGGTCGTGACGCGCCGCAGCCGCGTCGCGACCCTTGGCCGCCTAATCAAGTGCCCGGATGACGACTGTACAACCATGAGCCTAGGGACTACGTGAACTCAGGACCATCAACTGCGCCAGTTTTCGGTTCTTCTTTGCACCCTGCACCTATTACGATATTCGTGACCTCATACATTGCAGCTTTTCATGCGTGACGAGTAGCTTATGTAGCCCCATGGTATTTCCACTCTTCGATGCTCTAGAAGTCGTTTGCGTTACAGAATTTCGCGACAGGACCATGCAGAAAAGTCCACGCAGTCGGGTAATCGGGTTGTTCAACAGCAGTGATAGCGTTTCGCTCTCCAGGGAACTGCTACCACTGCATAAAAGATGTCTGCTTTTCGACTTATTTGTACTTTATTAAAAAAAGGAGCCATACACTTTCGCAGTATCATACTAGACTTTATTAGTAAAATTACAAAAATAGTAACATAATAAGAAGATTTTAAGAAAAACCTGAGTAGGGGACATCCAGTCGTCTTCGAATGAGCGAAAACCAAAAGAAGGTACAAGAGACAACGAATTAAAGAAGCTTTTACAGTAAAAAAAAGAATCATTGAGAGAGCAGTACAACGGCTGTAGATGCTTTGGATAAAGCAGATCACAAATTTAGAACTCGACGTTGTTGGTATTCGAATGCACGGCAATGCTCGAATTTCGCTCCTTTCACGAAATTTTTTGGATCGAGCGGTTCGCATTCACCCGAGCACGTTCGCGGATAGCAAATGAAGGTAATGTGACGAATGTCGATAAGCGCTGTCATTTGGAAAATGGTGTACACGGTGACGATCACGTATTCCATGACGGCATAGGCACGCGACACTGAAATTCAAACTCCTTGTATGCAGTTCTTCTGGACGATTGAAAACACATTCTGCATTCCTTAGTCTCAAATGATGTTGTATATATCAAATTTTGGAGCTGCTTATTTGATCTAAACCATAGAATGGGGAATAACAGGAGACCACAACTAGACATAGCCCAAAACGACTGGCTGCAGCGCAAGGCTTTCAATCACTGGACGACCTCATGAAGTAGATCAGTATGCGAGTACATAATGCTTTAATATGGTCACGCGCAATTGTCGGGTCGCAATCAGCGGCTCGCACCTGCGGCGTTTCCATCATTGGTTGCTCCCTCCCTAAATCGATCTTTACCCGATCGCCATTGGTAGAGCAACGAGGCCGAACGCCCATTTGGACCGCGTTGCACAGCAGCCGCTCTCCGAACAGTCCGCAAATAATGAGGATTGTATTGTGGCATAGAACGCTCAAGGGCGCAGGGGAGAGAGCAGCCACTGCGGCTAAGAGAGGCCGCATAGCCGCTGAGGCAATGCAGGTAACTTTCAGTTGCTTGTGAAGTGAGCATGAGTGAATAAAGGAAATATTCTCAAAGTTCATAGTGTTTTGGCTCACTTACGCTCGGCACCTCTCGAGCGAGGTACAGATAGTGAATACCCCTCTGAAAGAAGAGTTCCGTCTTCGTACTTCCCCACTCCCAACTTATAATTGTTGATTTACGAATCTGTATGCGCTCGCGCCGCGTTGCGTATTCAAGCCGGCAAAATAAGCGCCTGGAGGCAGATTTTGTTGGCAGGTATAAATTCATTGCTTCTCGCTGAGTGAAACTTTTCCACTTCCTCCGGGGCGGGGCCCTTCGAGGAAGGAAAGTGATATGTAAAGGCGATGATCGCTATTGTTTGGGCTTGTCCCAGCTAGCGGTTTTAGGTGGACTAACGGCTAATCGCCCGCCCGCACGTGCTTGCATGCTTCAATCATGATTACTAGTTTCATAAAATGTTGAATTCTAGGTGGGCTTCACTTTCTCGTGTAATTATGTAGAAGCATGGTGTTTTATTGTGGATATCCTGATCACTGACCATATGAGAAACAGATGGGAAAGGAGATCGGCGAGTAGTTATGCTGGAAATACTGTGGCGCCAAGTAGCAGAACGTACAAGCTGTCATAACCTTCAGAAAGGCTGAGATGTGATCCAATCTCTGAAAAGGATAAGTTTTCGTCCCTCAGCATCTGCCCGACATTCGACAGTCAAGGGCCTGCTGAAGGCAACTGCTGGAAATCCATCTTACCTGTTGTGAGCTTTTACTGTAAGAGTAAGATACTGCCGTGGTAACCACCATGCTCGTGCCGGCAACCATTACAAACACGATTTTGCAGAATCTGTTGACCTCTGGAAAACCGATTGCATTGCCCTTGATTTTTTTTGCAATAAAACTACTGTCTTAACCTCCCACTCACCGGGAAAGTCAAAATGGACGGTGATAATGCTAAAAAGTGCCAAAGAGAATACTTCCATAAAAGAAAGCAGAGGTAGAACGTCAATAGAAACCCGACAGAAAAAAGGAAGCCGCTCATACTCGGCACGGAGGATCATCCTGAAAACGGAAGATCGTCAGTTGACCAGCCTAGTCATTCGGTTGTACTTCCAGTCCGCTGCAGAGTCATACAGATGGCAAATCCGGGATCAAATCCGGAATGGAATCTCGAAGAAGCTGACTGACCCTGTCATTCATTGGACTGCGTTCAGACTTCGCAATGTCGCGTACCGACGCGCTACCGTTGCAGTGAACGGCGCTCCAATGCTATAGGTGGGAACGCAGCAACGAAGAGTATCGATCGGCTCCGATCGCTAGTGTTTTGGGAGAGTATAGGACAAGAGGAGCGAACCACACAGAGCACTGTCTCTCCTATACTTCTATTCTTTCTACAACACTGGCGCACAGTTATGTGCTGATTCTCCTATTCTCCAATGCTCTTTCAAAATGCTAGCGGCCGACGCCGATCAATAGGCATCTGTGGTTACGTTACCGGTTTTAGCGCCATTGTAACGATAGCCGACTACGCGGGTGGTAGAGCGTTACCGCGAAGTCTCAGCGCGTCCTCAGAGGTGGCGTCCAATGTCTTTTCGCAGGAGTTCATCTAAAAGGATCAGGACACCTATGGGTCTCTAGAGAGAAGGAAGAAACAACAAGCAATTTAGCCAAAAGATGAGGATTTGTGACTGAGCCCAGGGGAATATAAAACCCGGTGTGGTAACCAATTCTTTTGAGCAAAAGGGGCTTCCACAGTTTGTTGAAAGTAGGGGTACCCGAAGGTTAAAGAATAGGTGAGAAATGGTGGGAAGAACGTTTTTGTTGGTGAGAAATGCTTGCCTCGTTGTGGATATACCAGGTTTTTTAGAGAAAGTGGGACGAGAGATGTGGGCGAGCGGTCGCTGCCAACGTCATTGGCGGAACCGCTGCAAGAAGGCGTTTAGCAACACCCCGCCCTTCCACCAATGACGTCGGCAGTAACCCCGCCCGCGCCCAGCCATCGCTCCTTGCCTTTGATTATTTCGGCTCAAACATAGCTATTGGAATCCAACTACGTTGTGAAAACCCAGATATTCGTCTGGTTACAAATACTGTGATCTCCAGATCCTTTTTATTCAAAAAAATGACGGAAAGATGACTATTTTCCTCACCTGTGGCAATTTGTGATGAACAATCTAACAGGCATTGGTATGCACACACATAACCGAAAGAGAACGTTGCCAATGACGTTGGTCTCGAACAGATTCAGAATCGATGGCAGACCATTCGCTGGCATCGGAAAAGTTGTCTAAATGCGTGTGATTGAAGTATTGAGGGACAATGCTATAGTCATAGCTGTGGCCATCAAAGTGGCATTCAGTTTCCGAGAGCAGGGTTCACGACAACATCTTCGCATCTCCTTTATCCACCCTACCTGTCGCCCGGGAGACGTGCAACAGAATCGTCCGGGGCAGCGCCCGCGGCACGCGGCGCGTCGCGCGGCGAATGACTCAGCAGCTCACTTACGTGCTAGCCGATAGCTTTGCGACTGGAGCAAATGATTTACTACAGCGTACATCCGCAACATTTAGCAGGTTTCATCAATGATTGAAAATCTAATGATGTTTTTCTTGATAGTAACACACAATTGTTTGGCGGTTCCATAAACGCAACTTCAGGAAATAAACAGATACAAAGAAATCAGATAAGGCCGTGATTCTCCCTATGTTTATGTGGTTCACATGATTTGCGCAGTCGCCAGCGTCAATACAATGGATGGAAATCCGAGCTTTTCTGTGAGCTGCTATAAAAGATGACAAACCAGAGCAAATTCGAAAGACCCCCCAATGAATTTCATGCTCTATTGAACTTTTTCATACTCTAACTGAAACATTTGACGCTCGACTGAAAACAAGACTCGATCCCTCGGTGATATGATATTTTACTCTTGGCGCCTTTAATAACCCGACTATTCACGACACCAACGCCGGCACAGGGCAAAGCGTTCGTCTTACTCACGCCGTCACGTGATTGGCTTGGCACATATGTTGGCGGACGTAAGTACTTTCGTTTTTTTGGCAAGCAGCCGCGTGCGGAAGACATTGTCAGGGTGCTGCTCGAAGGAGAATGAATGTTATTGACTAGGCGAGGATAGGCTTGATTAGTCATGGGCTGATATGGAGAAGACTTCACATATCTTTGAGAATGATCAAAAACAAGTGTTTCGGTTCGAGGGTGACAGATGGAACATTATTTGTGGATTTTTTATGGTTCGGTCTCGAACGAGGTTACATAGCGAAGTCCCCGGCGAAAATTAACCCCCGACGACCAAGAGGGATGTTCGGGATCAAACTTGCGGGCCACTTCTGAATTTAGCGTTTCGCAGGTCAATTGCTAAATTGCTTTAAGGCCGCGTGCGCTCGGAATACATTTTTGGAGAAACGGGCTCGGAGTGTCTAGAAGTTTCCAGAACACAAGGGAATCTCAACTAGAGATGACGCTTTGGGACGAATTCTCAAACGAATCTATGGAAGGTTCCGGACCTTCACCTAGCCGATATGGGCAGCTCACCGTACTGTTTCCACCAAACCCACCCCCTGAAGATTGTTATGGCTAATATTTAGATGTGTCGCTGATATGTTTTGCATGTTCTGATAGCAAATTTCGTGCTCTATAACACTGCTATAGAAATCTGTTCTCCAGAGGTGTTTGCTTTCTGTTAAGTTCAGGTTATCATTACGGAACGCGAAGTCGTTGAGAACTAGCGTTCCCGTTCTCCACGAATTTTATGCTAACATTTGAATGTTTCTAATGTGGTTTCTATTATGTTACTGATTAGTCAATCGTTCGTGGCTCCTAGTAAATGAACATTCCAAAAAGCAGTTTCTCCGGAGCTGTTTACTTTCTGTAAAGCTCAGGTTATCTTTACGGAACGTGAGGTCGATGAGAATCAGAAGTTCCCGACTTCTTCTCTCAACCGCTGTCCACGGAAGCTTCAAAGCTCCTAGAGCAGCTCAATAGAATCGCCATGGTTTGAGTAAGGCTTAGAGTAACAGATTAGTGTTAGGACAGCTCTTAGCGAATTTCCCGAGCAGCATCAGCAGCTCTGATACCTCTGTTGAATGCGAAAAGGAGGAGATGTCTGAAGTGCTGATGCTTATCGACCTGACATTCCATATTATCCACCTGAAAAACAAGTTCATCGTAGCACCACGGATTTGCCAGATATAAGCGGTGGCAACGTCGGTGTCTATGAGCTACGAAAATTAGGCTATCAGCATACATTATATAACACATGTAGCGAAACAATTCAAAACGTGTAGCCTATATAAAATTCGTGGAAAACGGGAACCCTAGTTCTCAACGACTTTGCATTCCGTAATGATAACCTGAACTTAACAGAAAGCAAACACCTCTGGAGAACAGACTTTTATAGCAGTGTTATAGAGCACGAAATTTGCTATCAGATCATGCAAAACATATCAGCGAAACATCTAAATATTAGCATAAAATTTCAGGTGGAACAGACGTGAGCTGCCCAATATCGGCGAGGTGAAGGTTGGTAACTTCAAAATTCTTGAAATTCGTTCCAAAGCGTCCTAGTGAGATTCCCCTGTGCTGGGAACTCAGACTCGACCCTTTTCCAAATGTATGGAGCAGCTTAAGCGATTTTAGCACTTCGACTATACGTAAATAGAGGCAGTTGTCGAAGGTGCTAATTTTCGCCGACTTCGCTTTCAACTTCAGAACCCTAAAAATCCACAAAATTATTCTCAACCAAAACCTTTTGATATTCTAAAACTACGTGAAGTTTCCTATCAGATGATATCAAGCTTGCTAGCAAAACATTTCATCTTTGGAACGAAATTTCCGGTTGAAAAAAACGAAAGTACTTATGTGCCAACCCAATATTTCGAGACCACCATCACGCCCACCCGGCTGCACCGGACGATTCTGTTGCTACACACCCCTGTCGCCCCGCTGAAGCTTTGTGATGAGAGTACGATCTGAAACTGAAATAAAACACCCTCTGGGAAACTTAAAAACTGAAAATGAACGCCATCGAATTTAAAGGTTGTTTTATTACGAGAGGCGGTTTCGCCGCTAACAGGAATGAGCGAACAACAAGTTTTCTCAGTGGAGTAGTGGCGCTGACAGTCAACGCACGGTTTTGACATCAGATGCCGAACTAAACAACCTTGGAATTGGGTAACGCTCATCCTTAGTTCTAGAGAGTTTCCCAGAAGTTTTTCACTGTGTTCCTGATCGACCTCCAAACCTAAAGCTTCAACAGAACGAGAGGTAGAAGGAACCAGAGAGGAAGGTTCGGACCAATATAGAACCCCATTTTCTTGGGAAGACGACTTTACGAGGGATTCAATCGGTCAGCGCATCACACATACATAGCTACGGATGGGTTTGGTGAATCTTCGCTCGATTTCTTATGCAATATTTTATTTTCAAGTGAGAAAATGCCTTTTCAAAGAGACAAAGGCTTTGCCTGAGTCTAAAATGGGAAAGCGCTCTTGAGTAGATGAACCAATTCCCGAATAGACAGTCCTATGCGTCTAATGGTAAGGGTGATGGCGGCATTGCTCAAGCGTTCTTTGAATGCCCCCTCACCTCGTCAAGGTTCTGTATTGTATAGGTATATGATCTCTCACATTGTATAAAGAGTATTGGACACTTGAAGTATGCACTAAGGCCAGAAGATACTCATGGGAGTCGAAAAAACTCGACTTTGGATAGCATAGCAAGGTTACTCCTGGAACTGAATCGGTCGCGCACTGCACTGGAACCATAAGTCTAGTGTTCTAGATGAACAGAATATCGCGACAATACAAAATTAGCTCAGTAGTATGTTCTCATCAATCAGACCACTGAAACAGTAGAAGAAATCTTAACATTCGCGACCCATCTTCCAATTGTGTACTCGTTTTCTCCGTTTTTGTGTCTTTCCAGACTGTATCATGGGGGAATAGGAAATATACTGGCATGCGGCGCTTGCCGAGCTCGCGTCAGTAGTCGAGTCTCGGATTGGTTCTGAGTGAGGCCAAGTAAACCTTTCACTTCCTTTGAGACAGTAGACAAACTCTTCTGGAAGGAGGGGAACATTGGGAGTGAATCTCGGATTTAGCTCTCAGTGAAGTCGACCAAGCCTTGTTTTTTTTCTCTGAGTCAGTGAGTTGGTACCAAACTTGTGAAGAAGGACAAAGACACAACTTTTGTAACGGGTGGCCACTCATTCTGTGGGCCAGCTCGCTTTCGAAAGGCACTTTAATTCCAAAGTGGAAGTAGAATGCGTGGCGTATTCAAAGGAGGGATTGGTCAAGGCTGATAAATTAATCCCACCCCTTTTGTAGTCACTCGTTAAAGAGCTAAGCAATTTCTTATATTGCAGGTGACGGTATAGCGAGAACTTGTAGAAATGCGTAACTTACATTACATTGATAGGATGCGCTCCCGAATTTTCTGAAGAACGACCGTTTTATTTCTTTCTCCGTAGGGATATAGTCCGTATACAATGAACCAGAAATGGCAACTGAATATGTATATGATGTATAGGTTACGTATTGAACACGAAAATGACCGTACCTATAAAGCACGTCATTGAAAACACTGCACATGCAGTGGCTGGCCAAAATATCGAGAAATTGAAGTAGGAGAGATCTTCATTGTTGTCGTCAATGAAGCCTTCTTTCAAGAGCCTGTTCTGCTTCCGTGATCGAGGTGTCTTAAACCAGTAGTGTTTTCAAAGTCATTATAATAAGCAACTGATTATATGAATGTCATTATAAGTCCATCCAAATTTAATATATTGCTCCCACAATCTGACCGTCTAAGGGTGCAAAGCTGCAATGTTCGGCGCTATCCGATTGAAGACAAACTGTTTCCTCACCTCCGAATCCCTGCCATGCGCGGGGTGAATGGGACCGCAGTAATGCGCCACTTTTTCCACCCAAAAGTGCACGGGTACGGGAGTGGAGGGTAGTGATGGCTGGATGCCGTCTTCATCCCCCTTTGCTATCCGCAAGGCTGCGATCACATTTTGCGGCAGTGTCCAGCAGGTTACGAGCGGGCGGCAGCGTCAGCGACTATGGTAGTATAGATATCGACATATCGACCAGCAGCGTCTCTAGGGCTAAGGAAGTATAGGTATCGATTTAGCGACCAGCAGTCCAGGAGTGTAGAACATGGGGCGATAGGAGGGTAGCAGGCAGCTGGTACCCTCCTATCGCACCATACTCTCTACTCTGCTGCTAATCGCTGGTGGACGCTGGTAGACGCTGGCAGACA